TATATACTCCATCCACAAATCACATAAGAGATTTGCACTCCTCCAATTGTGGTATTTTTTATACTGCAAAAGGCCAATTCAATAAACTCAAACACCGGGAATTAATGGCAAGTCATAAACAAAAGGTGCTAACTTTGCACTGTATTAAGCACGGAAGAAAAAAGAGCCAACTGTCACCTCTTTCTACCAGTGTCTTTTAAAGCTTGCATCTTGCTATCATCTGCTGAACATTCTTTCCTACCATCAAATTTTGATTCATTCTCCTTGAAAATTCTTACTTCATGTTGCTCAACTTCTGCATAGCTCTTCACTTCTCTTTCAGTCTCAATTATAGGTGGTGTACTTGGTGTACACATATGTTCTACTCTACATGAATGTTTTTAGAGTCAACAGGAGTAACCTGTACAACTCATCAATTTCCAGCACAATGAATTGTCTTAAAAATAAAGCTCTTAAAAGATTGATATATAGGGAACATCAATTTCAATTCAACACCAAGATCTTCTACTTTTAAGTAAGCCAAGAATTCAAGATCCCTATAAAATTACCACCAATGTCAACTTGTTATAAAAACCAACACTTTTAGCACGATCTTTTTCAAGGATTGATTGGATAACAAGATTAAGATAAGGAAAATTCCCATATTTACAATTCATACTATAAGATCAGGGTGTGCAAGATCTTATTTGTCAGGGAAGGAATGTGTTACAAACAAAACAATAAATTGGACACCAAATGATAATATAATATATATATACATATTATATATATGGCAACTCTATTATTTTATACTATTGATCACCAACAGCAGTAGTTCATTAGTCAAATTTTAACATCTATAAAAAAAATCATGTATCTTTTACCTTATAAAGTGTAGAAAGATAACAAAATTCTTACCTGGGCATTTGGTAATTGAACTCCTTCTCCAAGCCGAGCGCTACCACCTGGGAACAAATTCTTGATGGCAAATTTCCTCAGCCCCAACTCACCATCAATTGATCTTCTGTTACTGCCAGGGATCTCAATCCTCTTTTTAACTTTGAGCTATACTTGTTACCAAGAACCTCCTCTTCATCATAGCCCTGTCTAGGTCCCAAAACCTCGTCCTCCCCTTCTTTATCCATAGAGAAACTCCCACGGGCACCATCAAAAACTGAATCGACACTCTCTTGTCTTCATCATCGAGGCAAGAAGCTGCAAGGCTGTGATGAGTTAACCAGGCATAGTGGAATCTCAATGGTGGCAACCCATGAGGAGTGTAGTATTTTTATGTAGTAAATTGCTGTATGCAAAAACTATTTACGTAGCTTTTGTAGAGAGAGAAAGTAAGAGAGAGAGAGGGCACCGAAACAGAGTGCAACCCTACAAATGCCTCTGTTTCGGTGCTTATTTGATTTTTGAAGAAAGCAATAAAAGAAAAGGTCTACACTTTTCATTTATATTTGCATGACTTAAATAAGCCAGTTTACAACCATAAATCCCATTTTTTCGTGCAAGTGATAGACTTGCAATTGAATTCAAATTCTACCATATCCGATTACAATTAAATTCAAAACTGAAATTTAAAATTCAAATTCAAGCTGATAAGAATAAATTTTAACTGATTCTTAATAATTTAACACTCCTCCTTAAGAATTAGTCCATACAATTCCTAACTTCTCTCTCATATTTTCGAATTTTCCTTTTCCAAACGGCTTTGTTAGAATATCCGCAAGTTGCTCATCGGATGAGCAATGAGTAAGCTTGATTTCACCACTCTTTTCAGCATCTCTAATTACATGGAACTTTACATTAATGTGCTTGGTTAAACCATGCATCACTGGGTTCTTAGTGATGCTATGGCTGACTTATTATCCATTTGAATTTCGGTTGGCAAAGATGCATCAAGCTTTTAGATCCTTCATTACTTTCCTCAGCCATACTGTCTGATTTGCAGCACCTGCAACAGTAATATACTCAGCTTCAGCTGTAGATTGTGTAACCACTTCTTGCTTTTTAGATGCCCAGGAGAAAGCACCAGAGCTAAACAAAAATAGATAACCAGAAGTGCTGTGTGCATCATCGAGACTCCCTGCCCAGTTGCTATCAATATTCCCGAGCAGCCTTCCTTCTCCCTTTGCCTCATAAAAAATTTTATAATTTTGAGTATCCTTTAAATACCTCAATACATGCTTTGTTGCTGCCATGTGAGATTGTTTTGGAGATGACATAAACCGTGACAACAAACTCACAACAAATAACATATTCGACCTTAAAATTGTGAGATACAGCAAGCTCCCAATTAAGCTCCTGTACCTTCCCTCATCTATATTATCACCTGTTTCATCTTTGGTTAACTTCAGGTTTGGAATTAATGGAGTAGATACAACTTTACACTCCATCAAATTAAACCTTTTAAGGATTTCACGTGCATACTTTGCTTATGACAGAAAATTTCCGTTCTGAGCTTACTTTATTTCCATCCCCAGAAAGTATGTTACTTCACCTAGGTTGGACATCTCAAACATCTCCTCAAGCTGTCCTTTGAATTCTTCCATTTTGCATCAGTCGTTTCCTCTCACTAGTATATCATCTACATAAATGACAGTGATCAGCCTCCTGCTATTTTCATCGTGTTTTGCATATAGCGTTGCTTCTGCCTTACTCTTTTCAAATCCACAACACAGTAGGTATTCGTCCAGCTTTTGGTACCAAGCTCGTGGAGCTTGCTTAAGGCCATATAAAGCCTTATGTAGCAGATAAACATGGTCATCTTTTCCCTCAACTGTGAATCCTTCCGGTTGATCAACATATATCTCTTCTTGGAGAACACCGTTTAGGAAGGCAAACTTGACGTCCAGGTGCATAACCTGTACTGGGAATTCGCTGCTATTGCCAAGATGATTATGATGGTTTCGTGTCTTGCAACTGGAGCGAAGGTGTCTCCAAAGTCAATTCCCACAGTCTGGGCATATCTCTTCACCACCAGCCTAGCTTTGTGCTGATTTACAGAGCCATCGGGGTTCAACTTGAGTTTGTAAATCCACTTGACACTAAGTATCTTCTTGCCCTCAGGCTTAGGGACCAAAGTCTAGGTTTTGTTCTTTGTGATCATAGCAATTTCGTCCATCATAGTATCTTTCCAAGAGGAATATCTGGCTACCTTTTGATAGGTTATAGGTTCTTTGAAGGCAAAATTGCATGATTCGTATATCTCAGAGAGACTTCTCATCCTAACTCTATCAGCACTTCCATCATTTCCAACTTCCTCATCATTTTCCAACTCATAGGGGAATGGAGAAGGTACAGGTTCATCTCCTCCTGTCACCAATTTCCCTACCTCATCACATTCTATATTTCTTCTGCCCAATTCCAGTGTGAGCCTATATCTATCACAATATCTCTCCTAATCATAAGTTTTCTGGAGCTCAGCATATACACCCAGTATCCCTTTATCTCTGTACTATAGCTTAGAAAAATTCCAGGCTCTCCCTTGTCATCTAACTTTCTTCTTCTTTCATCAGGAACTAGGCTGTAGTAAATAGAGCCAAAGATCTTGATGAGAGTAGTCTTGGGCTTTTTGCCATGCCAAGCTTCAAATGGCGTGATCTTCTCCAGGGCTTAAGTGGGCAGCTGATAAAGCAAGTAAACATATGTGTTCACTACTTCAGCCCAGAACTGCTTGCGAAACTGTTTGTCATTCATCAGATATCTCCCCATTTCCACCACAGTTCTGTTCTTCCTTTTTGCAACATCGTTTTGCTGCGGTGAGTAGGGGGCAGCAAGTTGCCTTTTGATCCCTTGAGAGCTACAAAAATCTCTAAATTCCTATGAATTATACTCAATGGCATTATCAGTTCTTAGCATTTTAAGTGAACACCCACTTTCCTTTTCTACAATCGATTTGAACTCCTTAAACTTACCAAACATTTCAGCTTTGTTTTTGAGAAAGTAGACCCAGGCTATCTGGGTCTGATCATCAATAAAAAAGGAGAAATACTTGTTCCCATTCAAGGAATATTGGCTCATTGGCCCATAGATATCAGAGTGAACAAGTTGAAGCTTTTCTGTTGCCCATGTGTTAGCTTGCGGAGGGAATGTTGTTCTGTGCATCTTGCTCATTTGACATACACTGCAGACAGTATTGGTTTCATCAAGTGTAGGGGGGTTGAGACTCAGGTTCTCACTTTGTAACTTCTTCAAGCCGGACATATAATAATGTCCAAACCTTCTGTGCCAAATTTCTCCCTCATTTGGATTAGCATAACAGGCCATGTGTGCTGGCTTCTTCATGCACAACAGGTAATTATGATTAATCTTTGGTGCTGTTTCGATCTGCTTCCCATCAGGATCATAAATCCTGCAATATTTGCTCTCAAAAATAACCTTATACCCATTATTTGTCATCTGATTCACACTTAACAAATTTTGCTTTAATGTAGGTACAAAAAGCACATTTGTAATATACCGTGTACCTAGGTGAGTATTTATAAAGACATTGCCCTTACCTTCTGCATTCTCAAACAAGCCATTTCCCAACCTCACTTTAACTTTCAGAGCTTTGTTTAAGTAGGTAAACATGGACTCGTTCTCGCACATGTGGGATGTACACCCACTGTCAACGATCTATTTTGTGTCATCCTCATTTATGACTTCATTTGAAACCACATATAAATTTACTGAAGCTTCACCAGTTGCTTCTGTGATGTTTGTTTGCTGAGTTTCTCCTTTAGGTTGGCCTTGCTTCTGCTTCAACCTACAGTTTCTTTCCTTGCGGTCAAGCTTTTAACAAAAATGGCACTGAATCGCCTTCTTGTCCTTGTACCAACAATCCTTTTCTAGATGGTTGGTCAAGGTGCAAATTTTATAAGGAGGAAATTTTGATTGCTTACCACAATTTTGGTTTCCAGATTGCTCTCAATTGAGCTCTTCTCTCCAGTCTGTTTTCCTTTGTTCTCAATTCCTGCTTTGGCTTCTATGAACAAAGCTCATTCTGTGTAATTAGTTTTCCTTATGTTGGCTCATTGCTGCTGCGACTCCAGCTTATTCATAAGCTCAACTGCAGTGATGGTATCGGTATCATTCAGCTCCTCCAACACAGAGATTTTGGACTCAAACCGAGCTAGTAAACAGATTAGAATATGTTTTACCACTCGTGAGTCAGGAAAGTTCTCTCCTAGCAGCCTTATTTTGTTCACAACATCCATTAACTTAGACGCGTACTGTCTCAGTGCCTCATCTTCTCTCATTCGTAACATCACAAACTCTGCTTTTAGTTTCAGCAGTTTCGTTCTCCTACTTCTGGTACCACCTTCAAATTCTTCCCTAATTTTGTCCCAAGCCAGCTTGGGAGTTTTGTAGGGCATGATCCTACTAAAAACCATGTCTGAGATAGCTGAGTGAATACAAGCAAGTGCACGATGTTTCTTCATAAGTTCCTCTTCATGTCTTTTGATCTGAGTTAGGGACGTAATGTCCCGCAATGGAGGTGGCTCAGTGTCGTTGAGAACCACATCCCAGAGATTCAAGGATTGCAAATGAATCTCCATTTTCAGTGCCCAAACATGGTAATTTTCGCCATTGAAGTGTGGAGGTGCAGATGAACCAGAACAAGTTGCCAGTTTTGTAACGAGTTTTGAAATTTTTGGATTGGTGGGTAAGCTGTATTCTTTCCACATATCCCTCAAGACAAGAGGCTCTGATACCATGTAGTATTTTTACGTAGTAAATTGTTGTATGCAAAATTTATTTACGTAGCTTTTGTAGAGAGAGAAAGTAAGATTGAGAGAGGGCATCGAAACAGAGTGCAACCCTGCAAATGCCTCTGTTTCGGTGCTTAGTTGATTTTTGAAGAAGGCAATGAAGGAAAAGGTCTGCACTTTTCATTTATATTTGCATGGGTTAAATAAGCCAGTTTACAACCATAAATCCCATTTTCTCGTGCAAATGATATCAGTTCTTATCCGATTACAATTAAATTCAAAACTGAAATTTAAAATTCAAATTCAAGCTGATAAGAATAAATTTTAACTGATTCTTAATAATCTAACAAGGAGACATGAAAGCAATGGGAGTATTGTAGGAAAGAGGAGATTTCATAAATGTATCGAGAGGTAGATTCTTGTTAAAGGGAGATCTGATGCAGGGTTCTTGATCCATATCCGTCCCCTTCTTGATCAAGTTGATTGCATTTTCATCTAAATCCTCTGTGAACATCTTTACACCCTCTACACTATTTTTACAAATTACTCAAGCACAGCAAAGAAATCAAGAACTTGAATTAGTTAAATAAAAGAATAGCTGGAGGCGGTTGTCCAAACGCACCGCCACTATACGTCTATACGACCACGTGCGGAAAACAAAGTTTATTTCTTATGTAGATTTATGTATCTCTATATTTTCGTGTATAAGGAGCATGTCCATTACTTCAAATTTTAAATTCTATGAAATAAGAATTAAATACAATGTAGATATTATAAAATTCTAAATCAATTTAATGTGCAATTAATTTTGCTGTTTTTGTTAATTTTTTACTAAATATGTGAGAATAGAAAGTGAGTTTGTCCAATTGGTATATAAATAATACTAAATCTAGTTAAATAATATTACTAATTTTTATATATTAGTTAATCAATAATTAAGGTTTATCAATTAAACCAAAATAATTACTTCGTATGAAAATTTGTAATAATCATCAAAATTATCATTTTTAATTATCAATTTAAATTTAAAATATTTTTTATTTGGAACAATATTTCAACTAAATTTTTACATTAATTTTTTCAAGTGCAAAACTTTATAAAGATTGGAGTTGAAAAAAAAGTTATGTTAATTGCATGGTACCACAATGTGAAATAAAAGTTTAAACTATTTCATTTGAATAAATATTTATATTATCATAATTTTATTACAGTCACAAATTACAATCACATATTTATTTATCAAGTTTAAAGTTATAAATATTTGACTCATTTAAAATTTTTAATTTGTGTTAATATTTACTAAAATCACCTATCACAATTTTGATATTGTATTATCTTAGAATTTATTGAATTAGCATGTGCTCTTATGTCATTTATAACCAGTAATGATTATTTATTATAGGAATTCTGATACATTAAAATCAAATTCAATAATTTTGATACTAATAATTAATGACAATCAATAGCTATAAAAAAGATAGTCATTTATAATTTTTAAAATAGTTAAGATGTCAATTAATAGTAAAATTATGCGGTTGTCTATTTATTTATTTAATAACTAGTTTATTAGTATTAGAAAATTGATATTATAAAATATACAGATAAACTATTATAAAAATTATAAATATTATTGATATAAAAATTATTAAATATTATGTTAAATTTAATATTTATTTAATATCTTTATTTAACTGAGTCCATTGACTGTTTTGGTCACATAGTCAAATCCAGTGGGATCCATTGGTTCAATTTAATTTTAAGAATTTGGTCACATACTCGTATTATTATTTTTTTAATCTTCTTATTTGTTTGTGTAAGGTGCTATAGAGGAAAAGGCGGTGAAACAATAAAATAGAACGGAACAAAAAATCCTCTTGTGTGGGCTGGCTACAGGACAATTCAGAAATAAACCAGTCCATAGTATAATTATACCGCCTTCCCTTCTCTAAATTCATATTTAATTACCCCCCAATTATCAAATATTTACACAAATTTCCACAAATCCACCAATTATTTTTCATTATCGCACTGTAAATACATACTGATGAAGCAATAGTGTATATATGTAGAACAAGAACAATTCTGGGTGCATCTTAACCTTAGTCCTATTACCAGATACAAATCTCAGTGAAAGCGGAAGGTTAATCAATC